TGACCCAAGCCATGGTATTTTTCACCTCACATTTAGGTGAAAGTTGGACAATGAATAAGGAAGCTTGAAGAAAAAATAGAGCATTGGAATTATGGACCCGACAAAGAATATTGAAAGTACCATGGACTGCCAAAAGAACAAACAAATCTCTCTTGGAAGAAATACAGCCAGAATACTCCTTGAAAGCAAGGATGGAAGACGTTGTCGCTCGTACTTTGGACATGTTACCTAGGAGAGACCAGTCTCTGGAAAAGGACATCATGCTTGGGGAAGGAGAGGAGCAGAGAAAAAGAGGAAGACCCTTGACAAGATGGATTGGCACAGTGGCTCCAACAATGGGCTCAGACATAGCAGCAATTGTGCGGATGGCCCAAGACGGCCGGTGTTTTTCTCTGTTACACATAAGGTTGCCATGAGTCAGAAATGACTTAACGGTACTTCGTGACAACAGATGATGGTGTAATATTTATCATTAAATGTTTTTCTTAACAATATGTACTTGGGAAAATTCATATGGGGAAACAGAATTCACAACTATTTATACAATATGCACCTTTTATATAAAAATGCTCATGTACAAGTATACCCCCTTCAAAGATAAATGATTATATGAATGTTGCATGTTATAAAATTTAGTTCATTTTTTTATCCAGAGAATATGAGCATAAGTATGAATTTATAGGAGCATAATTTATTAACACAATCAACATTTACATAAACAAATTACGCCACGGTCTTGAAGAAAGCTGGAACTGAGCGAAACAGATAACCTCCTGAAAGGAATCATGCAGTCTGTGGGAAATGATTAGGCAAGTGGAAGGGCCAAAACATAGAGTGAGCGTGTATATGCACGCTCGTGTATATTGTTAAATAATTGTTATTTTATAGTTTACATGGCAAGATTATTTCATGTTACTTCAACTAGATGTGTTTCTCAGTGATTTGAAAAAAGGAGGGTGACATGTAGGCCAGTCAGTTATAACAGTCAATTCTAAACATTTTGGGTTTTACACCTGTGATAGCATTTTTCTTCCTGTTTGCTAATAAAGACAACAGGGTGAGCAAAATCCTGACTTTATCCTGTTTGTTCAATGCTTGCATCTTTTCATGTCTACTTTGTTTGCAGCTGTCTAAACATCCTCTCACATTCCTGTCAGAAATGTGATTTGAGCTCAGGTTCAAGAAATGTAGTGTTCATTCCCTTATCATTTATTACTTCCTGTACATGTTTCGTTAAACTTTGAAATGGCTAAACCAGCTAGCATGTTATACTTCAAATCTAAATTCTATGAAGGCACTCCCCATTAAATAATGGGATTATCACCTACAACCCCCAAATTTCTATTTCTTAGTCTTGTGAACAGATGCAAAAGACATGAGGGATTTGGAAAACAGACATTTTGCTTTAGATTAGGCCCATTTTTTTTCATCTTTTAGAAAAGTAATTTTTTGTAAACACAATTGTGTGAGCTGTATAATTGCTCATTTTCTAAATATGTGTATAAAAGGATTTCATTTAGGACTATAGAATTCAAATTTTGCTGTAAATATGTATAATGATACTTTAAAAACATAATATGAACTATAGGAAGTTTTATGTGTAATTAGTGTCTAACTGACTCCTTTGTGAAAAAAATTTTTTTTTTAAATCTTGGCCAACCCTACCTAGAATTGCCATTAGTCTCTTAGTTGGTCAAGTTTAAATTCAGTTTTGAAGAAATACTGGGTCTAAAAAACGATCCTTGGAATTTCCCAAAATTTCAAAATTATTTCAACATTTTTTACAGAATTCCTGTTATAAACTAAGAAACTAATGCCATTTATTAAGTAAGTAGGTCTAGCTGTCTAAATTCTCACATGTTCCTTCTTGAAGCTGTGTTTATAATTTTTGTACTGGAAGGAAGAATTTTGTGATAGACTTTAAGAGAGAATAAGACACATTTAATTTTCCTCTATAAAAATTCCACTGGATATGATGACGGTCCTAGGAAATACTCAGAGTAACTTTTATCCAGTGGAACTCCTACAATATTTTGCCTGTAGCAGATTATTCAGATTGGTCACAGTAATGCAGTGGGCAGTTTTCTTTTTTTTAAAAAATCTGTTCTGTTTTCTTACTATGTGAATGTGAAAAGCATTTGAGAAGAGTGGACATATTAAGAGCTCTTTTTCTCATTTTATTCAGCAAAGCATCTGATGGCTCATTCAGTAACAGATCTGTTTGTTTACAAGAAGTAACTTGCAGTGGACTTCCGCTTTCCTTTTCTCACCACATTGGAGCCTGTGGAGGCCTGCTGGGGACAGGGCTTCCAAATGGGAAATATGTCTGGAAGCATCTGGGCAAGGCCATTTTTTTGCTGGCTATAAATGGGGTCTCCGGAACCAGAGGGAGCACACGGCTCTTGTTAAAATTGAAGGTGGTTATGCCCAGAGATGAAACAGAATTCTATTTAGCCAAAAAGAGGTGCTTATGTGTACAAAGCAAAGAACAACACGGCGACTGCTGGTGGCAAAGCTAAGGAAACGAGAGCCTCTGGGGAAAGGGAACTCTTGCCCACGGAAATAATGGTGTGGTCTGGATCAAATTCCAGAGCAACCTGCCTGCTAAGGCTATTGGACACAGAACCAATGAGATGCCGTATCCCTTAAGAATTTAAACTTACTGAAAAGTAAATAAAATTGTGCATTTGTTAAAAAAAAAAAGAAAAAGTAATGGTCTTACTTGTTAACGGAACACTGCTTAAGAAGTTGATATACTTGATAGATAGCTATTAATATGAAAGGATCTTGTCTAATCCTTATTGAAGACCTGTAATTTAATTTAAAATTTTTTGAAAACAGACTTTCATTCTGTAATGTAATAATTTTTAGTACCATTTACCATGCTTAATAGTCAGCTTACACGTGATTACACATTGTTGTTAGTGTTTGCTGTCAAATCAGTTGCAACCCATAGCACTCCGGTGGGACGATGTGGAACTGCCGCATAGGATGTCCTGGGCTGTAGTCTTAAAGGGAGTAGCTCTCCAAGGCTCTTCTGCAGAGCAACGGTTGAGTTTGAGCCATCAACCAGTTAGCAGACTAGCACTTGCTCATTTGCCACCACTACTACTTATGAGAAGGGGATTATTTGCTTATTAGCTCACATGGCTGATTCGCTTTATATCAGAAGGGAGGTTTGTTGAACTGATGATACTAGCTGTATCATTATCCTGCAACTCAAGATCAGAGAGTTCTTTACTGATTTTGAAATTTTAGAAAACCAGACACCTACCTGGGTGGTGCAAGTGGTTTGTGGTCAGAAGTCAATAGTTCAAACCCATTCAGCAGTTTCATGGAAGAAAGACCTGACAAACTGCATATGAAAACCCCAGCCCAGAAACCCCTTGTGAGCAGTTCTACTCCACAAACAAAGGGTCACATGAGGGAACTGACCCCACAGCAGTGTTCTTCTCCTGTTTGTTTGTTCGTTTGTTTGTCTCTTGATACTTAATTCATGAAAGAAATTTGTAGAGAGAAAGTAAGTGGATTTTGAGAGAAACATGGTAGTGTTGTTATAAACTGAAAAAACTCTAATTCGACTAGGGATTTTTGTTACCCAGGTAGCTTAAGGTAAGACCAGTTATATATTAACAGCATTCTTGCTGGAATAGTGGTTTTCTCTTTGACTTTCGGGTCTCCTTTTGGGTCCTAGTATCCATTATACTTTGAAACTCTTGAAGAGTATAGTTTTTGTTTTTTAAATTTTTTTCTATTTTTGAAGAGTATAATTTATGTGGTTATAGCTATCAATCTACATATTGGAAAATACAATATTTTAAAATATTTATTTCAAAATAACAGCAAAAAGCATTATACTTGAAATAACATTTTTATGGAAGATATTTTTCAAAACAAAAAAATAAAAAATGGTTAGTGCTTTACATTTTTTGTAAATACCCTTGATATTTGCTTTGATAGCTAGATTCTCATCTTTGCTTTTACATTCAATCTCTTATAATATGTTGTTTTGGTTGAAGTATATGAAAAAATTCAGGAGTCATTTGGAAATACATTTAAAATACAACTTGAGTTGTATATGAGTATATGTTGTTCAAAAAGGAGAAGAGTATTTTAACACCAACACTTGACAAATACTCAGATTGTTTTGTTTTGTTTTGTTTTTTCAAATACTTGTTTTTAACAGTGAGTTGCTATGTGGAATCTGTAGATCTACCAAAGAACTTTTCATACTCTATTACATATAAAGTCTGCTGGTTGACCTTGCATGTTGAGTGGATCTTCTGTGCACATATAATATTGGCTTTTGTTTATCAGCCATTTGACAAAGAGATTTTTGCAGATCCAAATAAAAGCTGACACATTCGTTTTATTATATAATATTTTAAAAATCACACTAGTTGACATTACCATATTGCTCATCAAATCTCAAAGTATTGCCAATCTGCCACGCTCACAGTGGTGCTTGGAAGCTCATTTTATTATTGGTAACAAATCTTATCAGATCTGTATCTAGAGGTGATGTGTATTTTGAAACATGCCTGTCAAACAAATGACAGTATAACTATATTTTGTTCATCAATTATTCTTTCAAGTTAAAAAAAAGGAAAATTGTATTTCTTGGGAGGAAAAAAAACGAGCAAGCAGCTCAGCTCACAGCTTAAACAATTGCACAAATGTTTTTCTGCAGACAACTCCCACACTTCCACATGTTTCACATGTATTTGCTTTCTTTGTAGCACAAAAGCTTTTTTAAGTTGTGCGCTCAAGGGTCAAGTTCATGTTTATTGCTTCATCAAGAGCCTTCTTAAGGGAAACTCGCTTTAAAAATATTTAGCTACAAATGCAGAGCTTTGAAGAATACGACTACTAGTGTGGTGTCACTAATGTCTGAATATCGTGATGGAAATAGCTGGACTTGGGGTCTGCATGCGTGTTGTACTACGAGAGCTGCTATGCTTTTAAACCATGATTTTTTTCCCCTTTTCAATCCCATTTAGTTTTGTCAGCCTGGTGGGTGGCAGCTGTCCAGAGAGAGGAGACAGCCAACATTCTTTGTGGTGGTCCTGACAGACATTGATTCAGATCGTCATTACTGCTCCTGCCTAACCTTCTATGAGGCAGAGATCAATCTCCAGGTACAACTTCTTTTCTGCCTTATTTACAGTCAAAGGATTAACATTGAGGAATCTTTTTTGTTTTTTAATGCCAGATTTGTTTTATGTTAGAGCTGTAAGTTTTATGGATCACTTTTAAAAGTGAGAGACATTCTGATGTTGGAAAGGAGAAGCCGTAAGGTGAAGTTACTGTTTGGCTTTAATTGTGCCCTTTAATAACTTGAGCATTTTTAGGAATACCATACCTGTGTATTTTTAAGGATGTATTAAGATTAGTTTCCTCTTCAGGGAAGGGATGAGTAAACCAGGGTATAGTAAAGCATTGATGAAACACACAGTAATCCTCTGGTTCCTTGAGGCTTCCTCACCCACCACTACCATGACCCCAGTGCTGCTTCTCAATTTAGACTAGACCAGAACATGTACACAGGTATAGAAAGGGATGGGAGCTCATGACACACAGATTCCAGGAACAGGAGTGGGAATAGTGAAACCAGAAGGGGAGGAGCAGAGGAAGGGAGAAGGGGGGTACCGATCGCAGCGATCGACACATAACCTATACCCCTCTCCAGGGGGAAGAACAACTGAAACCTGGGGGAAAGGAGACATCGGTCGGTGTGATATATGAAAATAATAACAATGTACAGTCTATCAAGGGGTTATGAGAGTGGGGGCGGGTGAGGGGAAAAAAGAGGAGCTGATACCAAGGGCTCAATAGGAAGTAAATGTCTAGAAAAGAATGAAGGCAACATATGTACAAATTCGCCTGATTCAAGCGATGTATGAATTGTGACAAGAGTTGTAAGAGTCCCCAATAAAATTTAAAAAAAAAAGATTAATTTCTTCTTGTTCTAAACCTATAGCTTTTTCCTGTCAGTCCTTTTCTCAAGGAATAGCCGACAGAATATAGAACATTTAATTAGAATACATGTAAATTACTGACACAATATTTAAATTGTTTAAAAGCTTATGTAAACATTAACTCATTATCACTAGTAATTAAAAAATATTTGCTCTTTCAGAGTACTGGTTGGGATTCTTAGTTTCAACTGAATCTACTTCATCTAATTTAAGCAATCAAGGATTTATGACAGGGTATTGGGCAACTTAACTGAATTTCAGGGCAGAGATGGGAAGGGCGCCAATTTGAAGAACTAAGAGCAGCTCGGATGAAGGCTCTTCCAGTGGAAACCTCATTTCATCGACCGACCACTGGAAAGTTGTGGGACCCACTGTCTCACACTGCTTGCTTCTGCTGGTAAGCGCACGATGGTGGCGTCCTCTGTGGAGGTCAGATTGTAGAACCTCCTGCCTACCAGGCAGTCAGAAGAATGCAGTGGGTTTCATTGGGTTTTCCAAGCTCGATAGTACACTAAGGAGATTATCAAGATTTGGGAGGCTGTTCAGTGAGCGAATATGCTGTGTCTGTTCCATGCTGATGAATGGATCTCATCGCCAGGAGAAAGGATTGGCTTTTTTTTCCCCCCTGAAATGGCCTCATAAAAGAGTTGGGGGTTTTTTAATTACTTTTTTTAAACTTCAAGATTGGAAATTTGTAGACACAAATCTGATTTTGTCAGGATAAATCAACTTGATGACATGAGCTCACATTGTCTAACTTTATTAGAGTGATTAAAAATAGCATGATAATTTATTATTTTTATTTCTTGTACTTATCATTTTCAGCAGTTTTATTGGTATATAATTAGCATACCATACAATTCAGTAGTACAGTCACATCAAGAAGAGTTGTACAGTCATCACCACAGTTAGTTTTAGAACCTTTTTATCATTCTTGGACTCATGGTTATTAGCTTCCCATTTCCCCCCAACCTCCTCTGCCATATCCCCAAGGAACCATTAGTCTAGTTACTGTCTCTATAGATTTACCTATCTTGGATTTCAGATACAGAAAACCATTAAAAAACTTAAACAAAAACCCCAAACTAACAACAATAACAATGTAAAGCAGATAAAAACCTCAAGCAAAAAGAAAACAAACTATAAAAACTAGAGCACTATTTAAATGAATCATAAGTGAAATCAAGTGACAGGGGGCTAAATTTAACCTAACTTCACCTACAACAATCCGCTTTCCAATGCACTCTTCCTTTCAGCCAGGCTGCTCACATCCCAGGTCCATGCACGGTCACCAGGGGCTTAAACGTGACTTCCACTGTCATCCAGTGCCTTCTATCAGCCAGGTGTTTACAATTTAAGCTCGGATACCACCATTCCCTCCTTTAGATTTGGAGTACAGTATATTAGTTATAATCCTTGGGTCACACAGAGTGATGTGCTTCTTCCACGTGGACTTGGTTGACACCTTACTTAAATGTCTGCTTGTTTGAAAACAAGCTTTTAAGATCCCAGATGCTATATTTTCTGATAGCTGGGTACCTAGTTTCTTCACTACACTTTGCTATAGCACCCATATCTTCAGTGATCTCTTCAGGAGAACAAGCATCAAGCAAGGTCATGTCTTAAGAACTAAATTTCTTAGATTGGAGTTAGCATTAGCTGGCAGCCCAAAATGCATTCATGCATCCTCTGGCTTTTACATATCTCTGGTTCATTTTAGAGACATCATTGAAAATTATTTTATAATTTATAATTTATCACAGTGATAAAAAAATTTGGTCACAATATACGTTTACCAGCATATTCTATTTTTGTTATTAGATATTTGTGGGACGCCAAATAAAAAATCATCAGGACCTTGTCATGGAGTCAAACTAAGGAATATTTGATATCAACTGATTACTAATCTGGCCTATTGGCTTCTATCAAAGGCAGAGATTATCTTTTCAATAGAAGCAGAAATGAGAAGTGTGTGTGACTGTAGTCTTCTTTACCCTCATCAGTTTTGCCAGTAAATGGTATGCCAAATCCCCAGTTTGGTGAGTTCAGCCTAAATAAATTTGGTTCTCCAGCCTGAGATCGTCTCATGTAGGTGACCTTTCATTTCTGTGTTGATCTTCATAGTGTAATGCTGAGTATACAGTAGTTTCTCTTATTTCCATAGTCTTCGGAGTAACTTTATACAACATCCCTGAATTATCTGATGAAACTAACTGTAATTATTTAGGTTCTCCTTCATCTCCTCCCCTCCCCCACCAATCAAAAAAATATATATATATATACCTGATATAAATAAGACATTAAGATGGTGTAGCTAGCAGGTATGTATAAAGAAGTTCAGAGCATTCTTGGTTATTTTTTCAAATTATTTATAAATGATTTCAAACGTACAGAAAATTTTCATGAATATTACAGAGAACATTCATATATGTACTTCACCAAGACTGACTTACTGTTAACATTTTCTCCTGTTTACTTAATTTATTGTAAGTTTTTGAACCACTTAAAGGAAAGTTTTCTATTCATGATCTCTCTTAACTCTAAATTTCTCAAAGTGTAGTTCTAATCTTTCTTTACATCAAAAGGACATTTATTAATTTCAGAAAGTTGATATAATACTTTTATATAATCCGTCATTAAATGTACAACTGTGCTTTACACAATTGATGTATGTATGAATTGTGGTATGAGTTGTATGAGCCCCTAATAAAACGATTAAAAAAAATGCTAGTTTTGTCAGCTGACCTGATAACATTGGTTTTTGTTCTCTCCCTTCTCCAGTGTACAGTCTAGGAATCATGCATTACACTTCATTGTCATTTTTCTTTTGTCTCCTTTCATCTGGAATCGTTACTCAGCTTTTTCATGTCTTTTATAACATTGACTTTTAAAAAATAAATTCAGCCCTCCAATTTAATAGAATGCTTAAATTTTCATCATGAGATTTTTTTTCATCTGAGATTCATTTGGAATACAAAATCAACAGGTGAGATACTGCCTAGGTGATTTCCTAGCGAGGGTAACCTTCTAGGAACACATGTGGGAGTACATGATACCTGTCTGTTTCTAATTGGTGAGATTAATTTTCATACCCTGATCATGTTTCTCCACTCTATCTAAAGTTGCTACCTTTCCCGGCCACCCCTCCCCCCATTCCTTTTTTTTTAATGCATTTCCCCCTTTCTATGATCACAAATAGATCCAGATTTATCCTTTTCCTTCCTTGCCTCAGCCTTGCAACCAGCTGCTTCTCCAAGGAGCCCTAGCTTCTTTGAAGAGGTAAAATATTTAGAAAGCAAGATCTGAGGTATTGTTTATGTGTGTATCTCAGATGTGTATCTTCATTTGCCATGTTAAATGGACAAAAATGATTATTTAATTTTTACAATAAACAAAAGGTTACAAAGCTAAATATGATTTTTTTCCCCAAAGTTCCCAAAATATAAGAGGGTTTTGAGAATTTGGGCTCCTACACAATTGCAGTCAGGTGCTAGAAAAACTGCCAGAGCATCTTTTCTGTGCCGGAAACACAAAGTTTTGTCCAGGTTGCTTGGTACTAGAAAGAGTACTCACAAATGGTAGAATTTGACCAAATAAACAAAACTCCAGCAGCTGTTTCTCGGTTATCAGTAAGGTAGTTCACATTTTTTGGCACGGACATTTAGCTATGTGCTTAAAAAAATGTGTTTTGTCTTTTAGTTTTGGAACACATTATCAATTCAAAAATAGACGCTTTAATTCTCATGTGGGGTGAATTACTTCATACCAAATATGTTATGACACATTATTTGGAAGCCTAAAGAGAAAGAACCTAGGGACACACACTGTCCAAAGTATAATTGTGCAACTTTAAAAACATTGGCTCTGCTATCTTTCCAAGATACAGTAACATTGTCAGTAATCACAAGCAAACGTTTGGCATCAGATTGCTGATAACATGTTCCCAGAATTATCCAACTAGGCAAAGTGATCCTTGATTTATTTATTTTTTTAGTAATCAATAAAATATGATAGATAAGATACAGCTTTTTTTAAAAAATCATTTTATTGGGGGCTCTTACAGCTCTTATCACAATCTATACATACATACATTGTGTCAAGGACATTTGTACATATTTACCATCATCATTTTCTAAACATTTTCTTTCTACTTGAGCCCT